TTGCTGGGGGCTGGGAGGCCTGCCAGCCTCCCGGCCCCCCAGCGCCCCTGCCTGCCATGTACCTGGTAATCTAAACAGGGGACCTGCAGGGGCCGCTGAGGATTCTTGACTCCTCCTTTGCCCGATCTGCTGGATCAGAAAACCTGCACTGTGTCTGATCCTGCCCCTACACCAGCAGAAGTGAGGAGGGAAAGACAAAGTGCAGTCACTCCCCATGGGGCTACTTCCAGCTACAGGAGTGGCATCAGGAGGTAGGGGTTTTCAGATGTGTCAGACAGACCTGCTCTGTCTCCCAGTTCCTATACCTGGCCCCCTATCCTAGACCTAGAGCAATAATTGAGTCCCTAGGGTACTACAGTCTTCATGCATTCTTTAACCCCCCTCTTCTGTAAATGGTTTCTTTATTAAACTCTCCTTAAATTATCCTAATTTAAATTTGTCATCTATTTTCTGCTAGGACCCTGACTGACACAGTAATAATACCTTACCACTAAAGGCTTTTATACTTTCTCGTTAATTTATTCATACTTGGATAACACTTTTTGAAGGTTTTTAAACAATAGGCCTAGAAATGCAAGTGCCCATGTTTGATTCCTAGTTACTTTGCTGTAAGTACAACTAAACATTCTCTTTACACCTGTTATTGGCATTTTTGTAGACTCTGTTTTCAGGGCCATCTTTGTTCTCTGAGAGGTTTATCATGTTAAGTCATGAACCATTCTTTTCTATTTCATCTTTGCTTGATTCTCTTTTTTTTTTTAAAGATTTATTTATTTATGCATACAAGAACTGGAGTATAGGCCAGAGGTGTGGAAGGTGAGAGGATCAACCACAAACAGAGTAGGGAACAGAACAGGCAGATTGACTGAAATACACTGCTGAGGGGAGCGGCAGGCAAGTCAGGAGAGGTCTGCTGCGCCATGTGGGTCATCTCCCTGGCCGGGGATCGAACTGGTGCTGCAGTGGCTGCGGATAGTTCTGTGTCTTAACCCCTGTGCCACCAGGGAGGCCCTGATTCTCTTTCTATCATCTCTAATTTCTGGACTCACAAGACTGTGGACCCTGAGAAGATAGAGAAGTGTTTTTCTCTTTGTTTTCTCTGCATCAAATACAGTACGTGACGTGAACTGAAACTCAGCACAGGCATTTTGAAAGAATGGAGAATTGCATCTCTTCTGGATCCCACTTGGTAATCAAGTGGAGATGTGTGCCTGGGGAAATGAAAAGCATATGGAGAACCTGGCTAAGGGCAATCGGAAGCTGAGGTAACTCACAGATGTGCATTGCCTTCTAATTCTCAACTTCAAAAATTCAAAGATGACCAGTTTTTTCTCCCTAAGAAAATTATCCCATTTAAACATTCATGAATTAACCACATTAGCTTACTTTTAACAGAAAGAATGAAAAGCAGTTTCTGTCTTATGCATTTCTGTACTGTGGGCTGTCAAGTTGAAGGATGTCTTTTCACGTTCCTAATAACCCACTGTTCTCTATGAACAAAAATTTACTTCAAAATGGAAAGTGAGGGTTTGGGCTCATCTCTAATTTTTGACTCACATTATACAATCCCTCTGACTAAGCCATGAGAGCATATAACACCCGAGACAAAATTAGAAAGCAACAGAAATCTTTAAGAGGGTAAATCATGTTTTAGGTTTCTCTAAATGGCCATCAAGCCATGACCATTAGAAATGACCTAGTCCAAAACCTTCATGTGACAGGCGAGGACTATAAAGCCTGAGGTCTGATAGATGGTAGGTCCAGGTCTGGGGCCAATGTTCCCTGGTTTCCATGCCCGCCCCCCCCCCCAGGCACTACCCAGTCTTGCTTTGAAGCACAGCCACTGGCTGTCAGGGGTTGGCCAGACCCTGCTACTGATGGGTGGAGCTGCCACCGCACTGGAAGCAGCAGTGATTAATGACAGTCGAAGGCCATTGACCTAGATGGCCAGGCCCTGATTTTCATTTTAAAATCATTGGAAATTTCCATCTTCATGTAGTTTAATATGAAACTATTGGTCTAATTTTATATGCTCCTGCTTTTTATACTGTTAAGAACAATTTTTATGATGTGCAAGGATTTCATGAAATTTTTGAAAATGACTGAACTATTTGATTTTTTTTTAATTAAGGAATTTTTTGGCAGTCATAAAGCTAGTTAGTGGCAGAACAGGAATTCAAAGTCAGATTTGTTTGATGCCAAAGCCTACATCTTCGACAAGTACTTGTGTTGAGTTTTTATAGGATAATGCAAATTATCCCTTTTAAACATTCATGAACTAACTACATTAGCTTACTTTTAACTAAAGAAAAAATGGTTTCTGTCTCATACATTTCAGATATCTTGTACTCAGTGGGTTGTCAAGTTGAAAGATGTCTCCTAAAATCCTGAAAATTTGAATCTTCAGAACATCTTTATTCATACGCATTATTTTCTGCATATTTGATTTTTACTAAACTATGCCTGGCACTTGCTTATTGTTTTAAACTTTAGCATGCTAAAACTTTAACTTTTAACTTTTTATGCCTAATTGTCCTCCTCTATTCAGGAATCTTAATTAGGCATGCATTTTATCATCTGATAAATTTTGCTTGAGACAGTTCAGTATGTGGAATGTGTAAACATGCTTACAATTATCCCAGAGTTGGCTGAGCTGGGAGGAAGCAGGTATTTTTATGTATTACAGGAAACAATGCGAATTAGCTCATCTTTCTAGAAAGCAATCTGGTAGTTTTTTCTTTTTCTTTTTTTTTTTAAGCCTAATGGAAATGGAGAGGAGTGGGTTAAGTGAGATAAGTCAGAAGGAGAAAGACAAATACCAGATGATTTTACTCACATGTGGAATATAAGGAAACAAGTCAAGAGAACAGACAAAACCAAACCCAAATAAAGCCCTGGAATCTGACTGCAGAACTGAGGCTACCAGAGGATGGAAGGGTAAAAGCAAGAGGGGAGTTAGTCCAGTGGACTGTGATGGAGGGTGATTACTACCTTCATGGTAGGTGTGGTCTGGTAACATTTGAAGAGGTGTGAATGTATACTCTTTAAACACATAGTGTTGTAAAACTTGACCTCAATTAAAATAAACAAATAAAAATTAAATATTAAATATTTTTTAAAAATTTTTAGCTTTGTCTATTTTGGAAGGGTACACACCAAAAAATTAAGTCACACCAAAAAATTAATTTTTTCAAAAAATTAAATTATATCAAATCATCCATGGCACTATTTGTAACTGCAAAAATTTTAAGTAATAAAGAGAAATTAAGCACACTAATTAAAAATGGCAAATATGTGTGTGTCAACCAGCAACAATTAATATGCGCAAATTCCAGTCAACCCTAATTGGGGAAAAAAGTCACTGACAATGGCAGTACACCCATCACTACCATATACAATCTTGTCTTAACCACCCTGAAGCATGGTGACCTGGGATAAGCAGCCTGGGGACCTTATAACAACCTTTTGCTCAGTTACTGGTATGCAACTTAGAACATACACCACCATGAGGCAGGATGGACCTGGGGGGACCCATGACTACTGACCCTTTACTCACGCTTTACTGACTTTTGGTATGTAGCCACCTCATATCTCACCATGTATAGCTGCCAATGCAAACCTACCTGGAACCTTGTAGAAACTGAAGGTATATATAAGCCCCTGACTTCCTACAGTCCGGGCTCATCCTTGGGATGCAAATCTGCTGAGTCAGCACCAGTGCATTAAACCTGCTTCTTGTTAGTCCTGGTGTACACGTTTCCTTTGTGCCATATAACAACCCTTGTTGAGTATTTCATTTCATTGCTTTGAGGTTTAAGTTTGCATGTTACCTCTTGATTGCCCTGAACTCAACAATCAGCACTCAACATCTGCACAATTGTATACAAGATGTGGTAGTATAGCTATTGACAATCCCCTTATTCATTGACAATCACATCGTTCAGCATCTGTCCCCAGCCCTCGCCTCCCCACACATTTCTTTCCCAGCCCTGCACTCCTCTACAGTCTTTTTTCAATTGTGATCTTAATCAGCAACTATAAATATTTACTGCCACCTACTACATGCCAGACATTAGGCACGCATGAATAAGACCAATATGATTTCTGTATCAATTCTCCCATGGACTACTGCTTCTTTAAAAGGAAACAAGCCAAAAGTTCATCAGATCTGAAAATCTGAATTTTCAACTGCAAAAGAGTGAACTTAGGCGATTTCTGCAATCAGATATTTTTAAAGAAATTTTCTGACATTAGTGGCAGCCTATTGTTGTAACTCAACATTAGAGACGAAATACTTTCTTGGGCCTACCCAGTGGCACAGTGGGTTGAGCACCACACTGTGAAGCTGTCTGCAGCATCTGCAGTGTGGGTTTGATTTCCGGCTGGCCAGGGAGAGACCCACATGGTACGGCAGACCTCTCCTGCCTTGCCCTCTGCTCCCCTCAGCAGTGTCTTCGGTCCATCTGCCTGTTCTGCTCCCCGCTCTGTCTCTGGTGAATTCTTGCACCCACCCGCGCCTCTGACTATACACCAGTTCTTGTATAAATAAACAAATCTTTAAAAAAAAAAATACTTTCTTAAAAACACCAAAAAGGAGTAAAGGAATAAAGTAGGGGGGAAGGAAGCAGATGGGCAGGCCAGCCTAGGAGTTACTCATTTTTCCTGGGTATCTCCTTTATATACATGAGATATATATGCTTATAAACTTGCATTTATTAAAAAAAACAAAAAGAAATTGCTTCTACAAGATTCATTCATTCCTAATGTAACCTCATACCTAAGTACTATGCTCCTGTTGGAATGTGTGTGCTCTTGTAATAAGGTGCAGAAATTTGGGTGAGTCCATATCTCAAATTCTGTTAGTATGACTAGAAACGAACGAAACCAGCACTCCTTTTATGTAGTTTTTTAAAATAATTTATTTTATTTTTAAATAATTTTAAATATTTTAATAATTTTAGATTTTAAGTAATTTCAAATTTATAGAAAAGTAGCAAGAATAATAGCACACTCAGACCTACATTAACCAGTCAGAATCACAGGTTCACAGTAGATTCAGAAAACTTTACAGGAATTTAAATTTAATCTATAGCCCATGTTTCAGTTTCAGTAATTGTCTTACTAGTTCCTTTATAAACAGTTCTATTTGGGTGAAGATCAACCTCACAGTCGCTTATTTCATTTAGCTGCCATGTCTCAATATCTCTTTGTCTTTCATAACATGGGCATGTTGAAAGAAACCTGAGGAAACCAGTCCCACCACCACTCATCTCAGATCTCCAGCCTTCAGAACTACGAGAAAATAAATGTTGGTTGTTTAAGCCACCCAGTCTGTGGTAATGTTTTATGGCAACAAAAAAAATTAATACACCATACAAAAAAAAGTTTAAAGTGAAGAATAAAACTTCAAAAGATAAAAATATGATTGATTTATTTTAATTGGAGTTGGGGCGATGTATAACAGTAAAATTCAAGCAAAAGAGCCTATCTTCAGTACTCCCGCTGATGGCTTCTGCAAGAAGTTTGTATCGCCCCTAAAATAAAACACAAGTAATATAAAATGGTAAATGCATCTAATGTTTAAGACGTTTAAAGAATTTTAGTAGGAGGAAGCCATTTCAATTGAACTGGTTATCATTTTCTCAGTTTTCTAATGAGATGAAGTTTTGTATGTCTTTGAATTCAGAGTATAAAACTCATTTAATTCCCTATTAGGTGATTTTTAATAACTTTTGAAACTAGTCAATGAGATTTTTCAAACATTAGACATATGTAATAATAAATAAAGAATACCATTATTAAGATTTATTTTAAAATAGTAACCAAAAATAAAACATAAATTTCATTCTTAGGTTTCTAAAACAAATATCTTTAATTGCATTTGCTATTACTCACGGAAGTAGTTGCTGTGCTATATACAGTTAATGAATTGTACCCAGTTGTCATGCATAATTTTCATGCAAAGATCATTCAATGTGTTAATAATGAACATTACTTTTGACCAAGTATGTTAGAGAGGGAAAATAAAGTGGAAAAGATCTTTCTTTTGTGTGATTTTTCCATATTTTGAAATACCCAAAGCCAAACAAAAGTTTAAAAAAATCTCAAACATCTTAATCCTGAGTCAATATTTTAGAAGTTGCTTATTGCTAATTTCAAATCTTAACAGATGTGTTATGCCAAAAGATTAAGAACATACAAAGTGTCTCTGGAGCAATACCTTAGAAAATTGTACTCCCGTGAAGGAGAATCGTACTTTTGTATGCACAGTCTCTGCAAACAAAATGCAAAATTAAAAAGAGTTACTGGTCATAATTAGATGATTTTTTTGTAGTATTTAATGCACCTCTTTACTTTTATTACTAGCAGTTCCAAGCAAAATTACAGAGACATAATGAATCTTATATCCTGGCTATAACTTCTCCTGTGGCCTCCTCTGCCAAGCCTTCCTCTATCCCAGTCTATGTCTCATTCCTTAGGGGATGTAAACTTGTAAAGTCCATTTTTTAAAAATAAAAATACCCAATGTTAACAAGAAAAAGATTAAGCTATTAAACTATTATTTACATATACATTGCTGGCACATTTGGTACAATCCTTAAGGAAAGCAGTTTGTTCTTTTGCAAACAAAACCACAACTACATTTAGACCATTTAACTCAGAAATCTTTCTGCAAATGATCAGTAACTCCTTCCAAACATGAAAATATTCAAATCTAAAATAAACAAAATTTGTATGAAGAAATATATTTATTACAATACCATTATTATTAAAAATATCAGAATGAAACTACATGTCCAGAGAATGGTTAAGTAAACCAAGGCACATCTTCCATGGAAGATGTTTCATTGAATAACATTTATACTCTGATTTTTGAACATGGATTATCTAGTCAACCCATGTAAATAAATTAATTTTTAAGAAGAAACCAATTGTATGAGACAAAAAAAAATCAAATACTTGCGAATAAACCTAACAGAAGAGGTGAAGGACCTATACAAAGAAAATTATAAAACATTGTTAAAGGACGGGCCTCCCCGGTGGTGCAGCGGTTGAGCGCTGGATTGCAAAGCTGCCCGCAGACTATGCGGCACCGGTTCGATCCCCGGCTGCTCCCCGGCCACCGGAGGAGGGTCCCACATGGCGGGCAGACCTCTCCTGCCGCCCGCTGCTCCCCTCAGCAGTGTACTTCGGTCCTTCTGCCTGCTCTGCTCCCCACTCTGGCTCTGGTGAATACTCTCACCCTCCCGCACTTCTGAGTGTACCCAGTGCATGTATAAACAAAACAAAGAAACAAACAAATAAATAAATAAATAACATGCCTCTATAAAAAAAAAAAAAAAAAACCCACTGTTAAAGGAAATAGAAGATACAAAGAAATGGAAAGATATCCCCTGCTCATGGATTGGAAGAATTAACATTATTAAAATGTCTATCCTACCAAAAGCAATTTACAGATTCAACACTATTCCAATAAAAACCTCAATGACATTCTTCAAAGAAATAGAACAAATACTGCTAAAATTCATATGGAACCACAAAAAACTGTAAATAGCCAAAGCCTTACTGACAAAAACAAAGGAAAATGGAGGTATCACACCTCCAAACTTCAAACTATACTACAAAGCCATAATAATTAAAACAGTGTAGTACTGGAACAAAACAGACACACAGACCAATGGAACCGAATAAAAAGCCCATAAATAAAGCCACATATATATGGACAACTAATCTTTGACACAGGAGCAAAGAATATGGAATGGAACAAGGATAGTTTGTTCGATAAATGGTGCTGGGAAAAGAGGACCACCACATGCAAAAGAATGAAATTAGACTACTACCTCTCACCAGGCACAAAAATCAACTCAAAATGGATAAAAGATCTGGACGTAAGACTGAAACCATAAAATACATAGAAGAAAATACAGGTAAAACACTACAAGACATACATCTCAGTAACATCTTAAAAGACTCATCATCCAAAGCAAAGAAAGTGAAGGAAAAGATAAACATCTAGGATTACATCAAACTGAAAAGTTTCTGTACAGCAAAAGAGACATTAAACAAAACAAAGAGACACCCCACTGATTGGGAAAAATTCTTTGCACTCCATACAACTGATAAGGGATTGATCACAAAGATATACAAGAACTCACACAACTCAACAAAAACAAAGTAAACAATCCAGTCAAGAAATGGGCAGGAGAACTTAAAAGGCATTTCTCTAAAGAGGAAATGCAAATAGCCAACAGGCATATGAAAAAATGTTCAACATCCCTTACAATCAAAATAACAAAATAACAATGAGATACCAACTTACACCAGAGAGAATGGCACATATCAAAAAAACAAGCAACAACAAATGTTGGCAAGGATGTGGTGAAAAAGGAACTTTCCTACACTGCTGGTGGGAGTGCAAACTGGTCCAACCACTATAGAAAACTGTCTGGAGTTTCCTCAGACTACTAAAAATGGAGCTACCATATTACCCCGCAATTCCACTCCTAGGGATCTACCCAAAGGACACAAAAACATTTATTCAAAAGAACAGTTGTATCAGGGTCTCCCTGGTGGCGCAGCGGTTGAGCGCTGGGTTGCGAAGCTGCCCGTGGCCTCTGCGGCACTTGTTCGATCCCCGGCTGCTCCCTGGCCACTGGAGGAGGGTCCCACATGGCGCGCAGACCTCTCCTGCCGCCCGCTGCTCCCCTCAGCAGTGTACTTCGGTCCTTCTGCCTGCTCTGCTCCCTGCTCTGGCTCTGGTGAATTCTCTCACCCTCCCGCGCTTCTGACTGTACCCAGTGCATGCATAAACAAAACAAACAAACAAACAAATAAATAAAAAAAACATGCCTCTATTAAAAAAAAAAAAAAAACAGTTGTATCACTATATTTATTGCAGCACTACTCATAATAGGCAAAACCTGGAAACAACCCAAATGCCCAAAAATAGATGATTGGATCAAGAAGATGTGGTATACATACACAATAGAATACTACTTAGCAATCAAAAAAGATAAACTTATGACATTCACAGCAACATGAATGGAGCTAGAAGGAATTATGCTCCATGAAATAAGTCAGAAGAAAAAAGAAAAATATCAGATGGTTTCACTTATAGGAGGAATATAGGGGAATCAAATAAGATATCAGGGGAAAAAATAACAATACAAAACAACAAAACAAAACAAAAACAATTATAAACCAGAGATATCCTACAGGGGAAGGGGAGGGAGAGGGGTCAGATGGAGGGAAGGAGGAGCATGGGGGACTATGGTGATGGTTCACCGGGTGTTGGTGAAGGAAATTCCATGGAGACTACACCTGGTGGGGGGGAGGCGGGGAGAAGAAAGCATTGTTTAAAAATGAATAATGATGTAAAATATATATAAATAAATTTAAAAAGAAGAAACCAGTTGTGATATAGTATACTTACAAGTACATAAACAATATGCATAGATTTAAAAAAAAAAACCAAGAAAGAAATACCACAAAAAGTCTTTAGAAATATGATTCTGTGACTTTTTTCTTGTTTATACTTTCTAATTTTTGGTAATGTGACAGTATCATATTTGCAGTCTTGAAAGTATTTAAAATACTAGTTTACAAATATTAAGGAAAAATACATGGTTTTGTAACAAATGAAATTTAAGGTCCTAAACTCTAAAATTTTATGATTCTGTGAACAATTGAAAGGTAGAAAAAAGGAAGGGAGACTCTGAAGACTCCAATGTAGTTGCATTAAAAATAAAAATCTAGGGCCTCCTTGGTGGCACAAGGGGTTCAGCACCGCACTATGAAGCAATCTGCAGCCTCTGCAGCATGAGTTCGATCCCTGGCTAGCCAGGGAGAAACCCACATGGCAAGGCAGACTTCTCCTGTCTCCCCCACTGCTCCCCTCAGCAGTTATTTCAGTTAATCTGCCTGTTCTGTTCCCCACTCTGTCTCTGGTGGATCCTCTCACCCCCTGCACTCCCTGTGCCCCAGCTCTTGGATGCATAAATAAATAAATCTTGAAAAAAAAATTAAAAATAAAAAAATAAAAATGTAGTGAACTTCTATAAAAATATCAAATGTAATATTTAGAAAAAAGAGATCCATAAGCAAGGCAAAAATGCATTATTAATCTGAACAATTCAAATATTTTAATATCCTTTCAAACACACTTAAAGTCGTCTTAATAATTAATCATAAACTGGTGTTTAAGTTACTAATTAAAAATTTGGATGGAAATAAACAATTATTTTCAAAAAAGGAACTTCACATTTTCAGTGTATCTAGCTTTCATAAAATTCTCATAAAGAAAATATTAATTGAATGCTTACCTCCCTTTTGAGCTCCACAAAATGAATAAATATCATCAGCTCCTTGGCATATAATTTCTGTGCGTATTGGATATTTCATGGAGTAAAGAGATAAATAGAGATTGAAATACAAATTTTCTATGTTTCTTCCTGAAAAAGAAAAAAAATCACATTAGCTCCTCAAATAAGAGGTTTTTAGGGCCTCCCCGGTGGCGCAGCGGTTGAGCGCTGGGTTGCGAAGCTGCCCGCGGCCATTGTGGCGCCGGTTCGATCCCCGGCTGCTCCCCGGCCACCGGAGGAGGGTCCCACATGGCGCGCAGACCTCTCCTGCCGCCCGCTGCTCCCCTCAGCAGTGTACTTCGGTCCTTCTGCCTGCTCTGCTCCCTGCTCTGGCTCTGGTGAATTCTCTCGCCCTCCCGCACTTCTGACTGTACCCAGTGCATGTGTAGACAAGACGAACGAACAAATGAATAAATAAATAAATAAACATGCCTCTATTAAAAAAGAAAGAAAGAAAGAAAGAAAGAAAGAAAGAAAAAAGCGACAAATTGAGAAAAATCATTAAAAAAAAAGAGGTTTTTAAAAGTAATAAGTAACATTTATTGTTTGATTAAAATGTGCCCTATGCTATCCCTACATAATTTCTATTTTCAAAAGAAAGCAAAGAAAGGGATGATAATCAACTCAAGTCCACTTGTTTAGAAGTCTGATGAAAGATTTCCTAGAGAACAAAATTTCTCCATGATCTCCTCATTGCCAATTAACATGGGAAATTCCACTAAACAATTCATTTTGTTCAACTCATCTAAGTTATTCAGTTGGCCAAACTGGAACAGATATACAATCTTTTAATAATGAAACAATTATTGTAACCACTACCTCATGGAAAATATTTTCCTACAAATATCACCCAGAACTCATTGTAGCCATAATCAAAAGAAAACTTTCCTTCCTTTGGCATTCTTCTAGTTCTCCTCAACTCTTCTGACAGCATCTCCTCAGTCTAGCTTCTGATTCCTCTTTTCTTAGGGTTCTGTACTCAGTTCCCTCCAACTTTTACTCTGCACACTCCTTGGCTAAAGTACCACACAAGGTGATAATTCTCAAATCATCATCTCTAGTCTCTACCTTTTTCATGAGCATCTGTCCCATATGCATATTCAATATCTCTGCCCAAATGTTACTCAGTTACCTCATTTAACATATTTAAAATTGATTCTCTCATGTTCATCACCAAATCAGCTCTAGCATTCCTCCATCCCAGTAACTCTTAATAGCCTCCTTTTTATCCCACTATCTCTGTCTTAAGATATTTCTCCGAACCTAAAGTACCACCAAACTTCCTAATTTATCTCCATGTTTCTACTCTCCAGATAAAGTGTGGAGAAGATCATAAGAGCTGTTTCAAACAATTGTCCCATTGTTACAGAGATGAATTATTACAAAGAATTCTCTCCCTAAAAAGAGGAGGTTCCAGTTTCCCTACCCATCTAATGAAGGGTGGAGCCGAGTGGCAAGGGGAAGCTGAGGAAGACTTGGAAAGGGGCAGAGATGAGGCATGTGGAGTAGAGACATGTGAAGAAGGCCCACTTGCCTCTCAGCTTTAGACTTGCACCAGGGAACTGGGGCACAGGGAAGGAGATACTTTAAAGAGACTGAGATGTGGGTAAGAGACCTATAGGGAGGCTAAAAATGGCAGCCTTTATCTTGATTTGTATTTTGATTTTGATCTTTTCCATCCAGATTTGCCTTTCTCCATCTGCCCCTTTCCTGTGGGTCCCCACCAGAAGTTGCCTTAGACTGTGGCAAGCTTTTGGGCCTCAGAGGCCCTGCTTTGGGCCAACCCAGTTTGCCTGGGCATTTACCCATGATGGGATGGGTGACTCCGGTGTTTCTGGGGGGGAAATATTAAACTATATTCTTTCTCTGCTCTTCTCTCTATCACACATATATTGTATTAAAGTTCCTTTCTATTGAAGGGCTTATGCACTAAATATGTTTTGTCTTGGTGCGGAGGATTTCAGAACCCATTTAGAGCGGGCAGAATTGGGAGTCCCAGGATACCCCTCCTTCTGCCCAGTATGAATCTCTCCTAAGAAAACTCTAGGGACTTCCAGAAATAACTTTGAGGGAGGCTTATGGTTCAGTTTTGTTTATTTTCCAAACAGTTAATATTACACAAGTAATTTACCAGCAAAAGTATAAAGTCTCTAAATGAATCATTTCCATTCCTAATCTATATTTCATTCAGGTTGTACTTACACCTCTACTGAATTTAATTAGCAATAGGGTCATAAATATAATGTTGATTTCCATGTATGTGGCCCCACACTTTATACAGACAATCTAGCATATTCTAGGAAGACTTGGGTCATAAATGCAAAGCACTATGAAAACTATGACTGAATAATTCTTTTGTTACTTAATTAATATAATGCTATATAAATGCCATATTTAGTGAATGATTAAGGTGTTTGTGGTAGTCATAAGGTATGCCACTCAAACCTTCCTTCCAATGAACCTGCTGAGGAGAGGGCAGTTGGCAGACAGCTTCCAGCTTCCACACCTTCAGATCCATCTCAGCTCTCATCCAAAGGCCAAACTCTCCCAGGTTGCTCCTATAAAGATGGAGCACTATACACCAGAGCCAGCCTACTTCTCCCTGACATCTTTACTCTAGTCTCCCCACCTGGCTGAGTGGTTTCCAGATGCACTTTGTTCTGATGACTTAATTCTAGCAAATTTGCCTTCTCTCATTTCAAAGATATAAGACCTTCATCTCAATCTGAATCCTCTCCTTGAATACTCTGACTTCTTCATTATTCGCAAGCATTCCTGCCAGTAAGTCTCTCTTATATCTAATTACTTCTTGGCATCTACTTTTCAGAGAATACTAATGATACTGTACTGTATTATTATTTGGGCTTGGAGGATACATCCTGCTTCCTGTGTGTAAAGACAATGGGTTCTCTTGAAAAAATGTTCAACATCACTTGTAATCAGGGAAATGCAAATCAAAACTACCATTAGATACTATCTTACAACAGTGAGAATGGCACATATTCAAAAAACTAGCAACAACAAATGTTGGCCAGGTTGTGGAGAAAAAGGAACTCTCCTGCACTGTTGGTGGGAGTGCAAACTGGTCCAACCACTATGGAGAGCTGTGTGGAGATGTCTTGACCTACTAAACATAGCACTTCCATATGATCCAGCAATTCCACTCCAAGGTATTTACCCAAAGGACACAGAAACATCAATTTCAAAGAGCACCTGCACCCCTATGTTTATAGCAGCACTGTTTACAATAGCTAAGCTTTGGAAACAACCCAAATGCCCAAAAATAGATGACTGGATCAAGAAGATGTGGCACATATACGCCATGGAATATTACTCAGCATTCAAAAAAGATAAACACATGCAATTTGCAGCAACATGGATGGCGCTGGAAGGGATCATGCTCAGCAAAATAAGCCAGAAAGAAAAAGAAAAATACCGGATGGTCTCACTCATAGCAGGAATCTAGAAAATTTAAATAAGGGACCAGGAAAAAGAATAACTATAAGAAAGAAAATATCAAAATCAACAAATAACTAAGAACAAGAGACAGCTCTATGGGGGGTGGGGGCCGGGGAAAGGAGGGCTTGGGGTCAAAATAAGGGGGTTGTAATTGTATGGGGAATATAAAAATAAAATTTAGAATTATTAAAAAAAATTTAAAAATTTTTTAAAATTAAAAAATGAGGCCATTCATTATGTAAATAATCATATCTGCCAAATGTCTGGAGGTAAAGCAGAACACAAAGATCAGAAAACAAAACCTGAGAAAAAAGGAAGAAATCATAAAGAAATCATAAAGATAATTTCATTTACCCTTGGCCAACAAAGTAGAACAAAACTAACTATTCTTTTCTGTGCTACCACTGTCTTACTTCTATCATTTTACTTATCATACCATATTATCTATAAATCTTTCCCTCCTATTGCACTGAGACTTTCCTGACAGTCAAGAGAATGTCTTATCAGTGAGCTCACAGTAACTAGCACATTGAAATATAATATGCTTTTATTGAGTTTTTTCTAAAGAATAAATGGATGTAGTTTTTTTAAGGAAAACTAAAACACGAGTTTATTATCTATAAAACCCAGTGACTTGTAGGTTGTCAACTAACATTTTTTGTAAACTGGAAGATTAAAACCAGGGGGGAAATGTTTCTTTAAGCTTATTTATGTGAAATTATTTTGTAAAGTATAAACTTCAAATATAAGCTAGGATGTAATTGATAATAGTGTTAATGAAAACAATAATGATAGTGATGATTCTTACCTTCAACATTTCCCGAAATCTTAGGGCTTACAGGCAACAAAGCTGACTGATAGGAAAGGATGAAAATTTTATGTGTTTTCATAGTGCAGCCCCAAGCTATCACCATTACCCAATTTAATTTTGACTAACCTAATAACAAGTAGAATCACAGAGAGGAAAACAGACACAATTCAAAACAAAACTTTAAAATTGCCTACTTTATTCCATTATCTTCATTTTTTTTTCTAGAAAAAGTTATCTTACACACAGATATTTAACTAGTAGAACCCAACTTTACTTATCAACTGAATAGTTAATGATTTAAAAAGAATATACCTATGACATTGTTAGAAATCTCAAGTTAATTACCATGTATACCCCACATACCACTAAAAATGCCTTACCCATGATTGTGAGTTAACCTAGAGATTTGCTTCCAACAAATCAAATATAACAAAGGTGATGGAGGGACTCTGTTATTGGGCAGAATGAAGGATCCCCCAGGATCCCCAAACCTGCCTGCTCTAAATGGGTTCTGCCCTATAAAGACAAAATATCCTCTAAGTGCATAAGTGCTTCAATGGAAAAGAACTTTAATACAATTAGTGTGCAATTGAGAAAAGAAAGAATAATTAGTTAAAATAGGCTCCAATTAAATACCCAAAGTCAACCATTCCCTCATGGGTAAATGCCCAGGCAAACAGGGTTGGCCCAAAACAGGGCGCCTGAGGCCAAAATCTTGCCACAGTCTAAGGCAGCTTAGAATGTTGGGGGGACCCATAGGAAAGGGGCAGAAGGGACCAAGCATATCTGAATGGAAAAGAGCAAAATCAAAATACAAATCAAGATAAAGGCTGCCATTTTTAGCCTCCCTATAGGTCTTTTACCCACATCTCTCTCCCTAAAGTGTCTCTTTCCATGTGCCCCAATTCCCTGGTGCAAGTCCAAGGTTGAGAGGCAAGCACAGCTTCTTCACATGTCTCTCTGCTCCACGTGCCTCCTTCAGTATTCTAGTCCTGCTCTTCCCTTCTTTCTCCCAGTCTTTCTAGCTTCTCCTCCCCATGAGCTTTCCTCAAGTAGGGCAAGAAATCTGGGACCTCCCCTTTCTAGGGAAATCACACTGTACAACACTTACATGACTAGGCTACCGAAGATTCTGAATTCTGTCTTATTAGCTGGGTGTGCCTATTGCTGGCTTTGATGAGGCAAGAAACTATGTTGAAAGACCTGTGTGGCAAAGGAACTGAAAATTGTCAACAACTACACGAGTTTAGAAGTGGATCTTTCCTTAAATGAGCTTTCAGAAGAGACCCCCATCCTGGCCAGTGACTTGATTGCAAGCTGATTGAAACCTGTAGGAAATCCCAGACTACTAACACATAAAGACTGTTAGACAGTAAATATAAACTGTGTTAAGTCAATAAGACTGTGGTATTTTGTTACACAGCAACAGAAAACTAATACAAGTATATCTACAATCATTTATCATCTGTGAAAACAAAACTTTATACTTACTTGGAATGTAAAAAATGTGCAGATATCCACTGCTTCTCTTCAATGTTATACAGGGAGTAACATTAACTGCAATATGGTAGTTTATGTTATCTAAATGAAATAAAGATAACATCAATAAATTATTTCCAGTAAGTGTAGTATTCTAACTTAAATTCCCAAAAGATAGCTTTAGCATTAAAATTATAAAATAAGAAACATTGAAGATGGTTAAAAATTTTTCCTTCCCCAGAAGAATGACATCAGCAAGATGACAGAGTACAAAGCCGAAGGGCCCCATTCCCCTAAAACACAACAATTCAGCAATCCCCGTTTTTTTTCGATGACTTCATTGTCCCCCCTCGCTCACTTCCATTGCAGTCATTTGGGTCTCCTTGCTATATCCCCAAGACCACCTTGCTATATCCCCAAGACTCCACCTCAGAGTCTTTGTGCTTGCCTTTCCTCCACCGTTCCCCTTAGATATCTGCATGACTCGCTTTCTCTCAGCAATATCTGGTCCTTGTTAAATGTCACCTTCTGGGCCTCCCTGGTGGTGCAAGGGGTTAAGTATCAGCACTATGAAGCAATTCACAGCTACTGCAGCACAAGTTCAATCCCTGGGGTCTGGGAGGTGACCCACATGGCACAGCAGACCTCTCCTGTCTTGCCCGCTGCTCCCCTCAGCAGTGTGTCTCAGTCAATCCACCTGTTCTGTTCCCCATTCTGTCTCTGGTTAATCCTCTCTCTCTTTCTCTCTCTCTCTCTCTCTCTCTCTCTCTCTCTCTCTCTCTCTCTCACACACACACACACACACACACACACACACACCCCTCTGGTCTACACCCCAGCTCTTGTATGCATAAATAAATAAATCTTTTTTTTATTATTTATAGAAGAGCTGGGGTACAGGCCAAATGCGTGGGAGGGTGAGAGGATTCACCAGAGATAGAGCGGGGAACAGAACAGCAGACTGACAAAATACACTGCTGAGGGGAGCAGCAGGCGAGACAGGAGTCTGCTGCACAATATGGGTTGCTCTAAGGCCTGCGGGGATCAAACCGACACTGCAGAGGCTGCACAGCTTCACAGCACTGCGCTCAACCGCCTGCGCCACCAGGGAGGCCCAATAAATAAATCTTTTTTTAAAAAAGTCATCTTCTCAGTGAGGCCTTCCTTGGCCTAATTTAAAATACAACCCCACTCCTCACTCTGTACCCTCTGGCCCCTCCCCTGCTTTGTTTTTCTTTTATAGCAATTGCCACCACCTGACATGAGGAATATTTTACTGATGGAAACTCCATGAGGGCAGAGATTTTATATTTGTTGCTCACTATAGTGCCTAGAATAAGCTATACACTCAGTGAATATTTGTTTAATTAAATAATCCATTGATTCCTTGAGTTTCTGGACCACTACAGCAAAAGAAAAAGTTAGGATTGAGTCTGATAACTCTGGGTTGCAGGAGGGCTTATGTAGGGCTCTGGGGACTGACTCACATACCCACGTTTTCTGCCTTTTCCAAAGCTGAAAAATAGAATAGCCAAACCTTGAAGTTGTTGTACCTTATGGGTATAATTATGTCCCCTGTAAATTCATATGCTGACATCTTTGTCCTAGCACCTTAAATTGTGACTGTATTTAAAGATAGCACATTTAAAGAGGAAAATTAGTCAAAATAAGGCTGCTAGTTTGCACCCTAATGCAATATGATCCAAGTCGTTTTGAGAAGAGGTCATGTGAGCACCCGGCAAGATGACACCAAACCTATTGACAAAGGTCATGTGAGCACCCGGCAAGATGACACCAAACCTATTGACCCTTGACCCTTCAGGCTTCCAGAACTGTGAGAACTAAATTTCTGTTGTTTAAATCTTCCAGTCTGTGGTGTTTTGTTATGGCAGCCCTAGCAAATTAATACACTGCATATGTCTAGTAGCTTACTCAAAAGAAAATCAGCCTCACAGAAAGAACTGAATCAGGGATGGTTGTTGTCACTAGCAACCTCACAGTAATTTCTAGACATCAATTCTTCCAGTGCACAACACATTTTGGGCTCTGCAGGGATGGTGGGGAAGTGTGTGACAGGGCAGTGGGGTTGGCACCAAGCAGAGTCCATTATTCCTCACTGTTGTGTATCTATGAAGCAATAGAAAGGAACCCCAGGATTTCCCAGCATTAGAGAGAAAGATGTAAGAGCCTCCCTCAAAAAACAAATCAAAAGACAAATCAAGTTATTGTTACTGGGCCTCCCAGGTGGCACAAGGGGTTATGTCTCAGCACTGAAGCTATCTACAGCCACTGCAGCACAAGTTTGATCCCAAGCCAGGGAGGTGACCCACATGGCACAGCAGACCTCTCCTGTCTCACCCACCACTCCCCTCAGCAGTGTATTTCAGTCAGTCCTCCTGTTCTGCTCCCCACTCTGTCTCTGGTGAATCCTCTCACCCCCCCTGCACCTCTAGCCTGTACCCAGCTCTTGTATGTATAAATAAATAAATCTTTTAAAAAAGTTATTTTTACTAAAAGATAAAAATTAAACAATGCTATGAAGTTTGACATAAGACCAGATGAAGTGTAGCACAGAGAAGGCATATTCAACAAGTGGTACAGAAGGGCCAAAGGAGAGGAGAGAAGGCCTGAGGGTCTTCCTGGAAAAGGGGATGTAAATTGATCTTGTGTGACAGAGAAATTTCACAGATAAATTGATAGCAAATTTAGCACAATCCACAAATAGGAAAAAAAGGCTCAAGTGTGAGATTGGTTATCTACTTAAATATTGTTCTCATACCTGGCAATTACTCTAATCTCCCAGAAGTAGCTTTATATTACCATTTGCCGTAACATGTTTCACAGGACAGTCAACATACATGCAAAAAAATAAAATAAAATTTCAATTTGTGGATTAAATAGGCTTCTTTATTGTAGAGCTTCTCAGAATTCAAGGCACAATTGTAAATCTCTCCCCATATGATTAGGTAAAAAGTCTTTTTTCCCCAGAGAATCTCAAAGGTCTAGTATCTTGGAAAGTAGCCCTTTTAAGCCTTCCTGATGTTGCTACTGTGTAGAAAAGGGCCACCAGTCCATGATGAGCAATGCAACAGAAGGTACCAGACCAAAACAGTGGCTGAAGGTGTACCTTGAGACCAGCAGATGTGGGTAGGTAAAGAGGAAGCAACCAACAAAAACGGTGATACAACCAGTTGATTGCACTAAGATATGGTTGATTTTTGTTTAAAAGTAACGAATATTATCATTTCTCTGTGGCTGTGTGCTAAAAACTTTACCCAATAACAAGCCCTGTAAATTGGTCATAAAATCACTTTCATTTTGCAAATTGAAAAGCTAGGGGAAAATAAAATTAAATATATAAAAAGAAACAAAAAAAAAAAGGAGAAATGAAAAAAAGAAGCTAGGACACAGAGAGTCTAAGTACTTTGCTAAAGCTCACACAGGAAGTGACCGAACTAGACTCACATGCAATCTGAAAAATGATTGCACGGGGTCTCAAAAATCACTTTATAGTGATAATTAAATGCTTCATAGAGCACCTGTTATATGTCCCACACTGTTTAGTCATAGCCTAGAGCAATAACCGATTCCAGGAGGCAACAATGACTCTTCTAGCCTCTCAAGAACTAGTAAGTCTTGGGACACAAGTGAAACACAAAATCCTAATTTCTATTGAAATTGGGAAGAATCTGAAACTGGGTTTAAGAGAAAGCTAACTGACCACAGGAAGCAACAGATATACTTGGAGCGCAAATACAACACATTTTTGATTCATGAGGTCCATGAAAAGTCAAGAAAATTCACACAGGGCCATAACCAGCTATCACTTTTCCTGTCCGAAGAAGCAGCTAGACCACACTGTCATTTCCTGTGTCCCAGCAACAGCAGAGTGAGGCTCCTGTGAAAAATTACCCCTCTTGGTTGACACTACGATTACTTGTTCTTGCTGTTTTACTTACCACAGTAGGAATACCAAACACTTGCATCAGAAGAGTTGCAGACCCAGCGTTGCTCCCCAGGATCAGTAAATGTGGAAGAAAACAGGGTAGAAAAAAGCATAAATGGGAACATGATTTAGTATCTCCAAAAATTTTTAAATGCAAAGAGGATCAGTAACTAATCATCAGATTCTTCCCTTTCAGTAAGTGGAAAATGTTTTACTTAGTCATCAGTCACATGATATCTGAGTTCCTAGCCAACTGTTTCCTCCTTTTTGTGTGTATGTTATACTTGAGCATTTCCTGTAAGGGAGAAAAGTGATTTAGAATGTACTTTTTTGTAACACTTGATGCAAATGAGTGACTAGGGTTTTTTAAAATTAAAAAAGACAGAGAGAGATTTCCTCGTTAGTGGTAACAAAATCAGTCTGCATGTCTCCTTTAGAGTTCATTGCTGTTTTACCCCCACAAACTCTTTAGACAAAAATTTCTCATGGTCCAGAGACCTGGACCTATTGTTCTTAACAGTCTTACACAAACTATTTGTGCCCAGGAACAGTTTCAATCATGGGACAGAGCCAGGATGGATGAGACCAAGTCTCCGGTCACCAATTTTATTATGCATTGTGGCTGGGGACCCCACCAGACTTAAGAATTCATTCACATAAGCAAACTATAGGTCCAGAGACTGTTTTGAGCCCAATAGTGGCATGATCATTAGTTCATGTGCAACATATATTTCATTTCAAAACTCTCACTCCGTTCTAGAAAAATAGCTAATCCTTTAAAATGTCTTGCTACTTGAAATCCTTTATAGGAAATAGTTTGGGATTAGAAGCCAAAAATAGCATGAAGTTAGGGCCTAAAATTGCACAGCTCTAGAAGAAAATAATTGTATGTTGCAAAAAGTTTTACCTAAGAACTGTGCTATTTTCCTTTCTTCTAAAATGGCAAAATTCCATGGTGAGGGATGGTGGAATGAGAAGTTGTTCAACAGGTATTGAGTTTCAGGTTTGCAAGATGAAAGAGTTCTAGAGGGGCCTCCCTGGTGACGCAGGGGTTAAAGCTATCAAGCTATCACCAGCCACTGCAGCACTAGTTTGATCAACATGAGTTGGATCCCTGGGGCCACCAGGGAGCAACCCACATGGCTAAGCATTCTTCTCCCTTACCCGCTGCTCCCCCTCAATAGTGTATTTAAGTAGTACTGCCTGTTCTACTCCCCACTCTCTCTGGTGATTCCTCTCACCAGCCCCCACACCTCTGGCTTACACCCCAGTTCTTGTATGCATAAATAAATAAATATTTTTTTTTTTTAAAAGAAAGAAAAAGTTCTAGAGATCTGTTGCACAGCAACTGATTTTTTTAAAACGTTGAGGGGGATGGAATCCATGAATGCCCTGAGTGGTCACAAAATACCATTGCTCACTAAAAGAACCAAGACTCTGGAGAAACTACTGAATCCTTATCTGGGTCAGAAAATGTATAAGATGAGCTTGTAATATATAATCATATTGGATAACCTATTTGAAGACAGTCTCTCCAACCAAAGATGAGGTTTCTTATTACAGCTATAACAAATAACAACAAACTTGGTGACTTCAAACAATTCAAATGTATTCTCTTACAGTTCTCAAGGTCAGAAGTCCAAAATCAGTTTCACTGGACTAAAGTCAAAGTGTCAGGAGAGCTGATTCCCTGTGGAGACTCTGGGGGAAGAATTCATGTCCTTGCCTTTTAGCTCATGGAGCTGCAGTCCTTGCATTCTTCCATCTTCAAAGTTCAATGTTCTCATTTCTGCCTCCATTATCACATTGCCTTTTCCTCTTATCCCCTGCCTTTCCTTTATAAAGACCCCTTTGGATAATCCAGTATAATCTCCCCAATTCAAAATCCATTTACAAGGGGACAGGGCCAATGGACTAGGGTGGAGGATTGTTGGGGCTTTGGTGGTGGGCATGGTGTGATAATACATATTTGTAGAGGTGTGAACCTATACCCCTAAAACATAGAGTGTTGTAAACCAACATTACCTCAATAAACATACTTTTATTAAAAAAAAAAAAAGCCATCCACAAAATCTCTTTTGCTACATAATATTCACAGCATCCAGTGATTGGGACATGAACATCTTGACATGAACATTCATCCTACATTTACAGTCTGCATATACAGGACTTGGGCATTGGCCATCAATGGTTGCTAACATTACGGAGAGACACTGTATACCTCTTGATGGCTGAACACTCGTAACCATTCTCCATGATGATCTTTACTTCCTGGTATAGAAATCCATGTGTAGTTCCTTCCAACTATGAATAAAGCTAACTGCAAATGACAAAATATTGCACAATAACAATGTACAACTTCCAAGGTAGATCATAAGACATGTGGTTTCCACCTTGCTCTCCTGGATTAATTGCTCTGGGGAAAGTAAGTAGCCCCTAAGGAGAGACCCAGGTGATGAGAAATTGAAGCCTTCTGCAAAAAAGCTAGCACCAACTTATTAAACATGTGAGTGAGTCACTGTCTAGCCTTCAGAAGGAAACATCACTAGCTGGTATCTTGACTGCAATCTCATTAAATTAAAACTATACTGGATCCACTCAGCTAAGTCACTCCTGAATTACCAATCAGCAGACACTATGCAGATTATTTATTGTTTTAAGTTTCTAAGTTTCAGGTGTAATTTGTCACACAACAATAACTAATACAATCAACATCACCTATGATTTAGCTTTGTCCAAAATCATCAAACCTCAATCTGATGAAGCCTCAATTCTAATTACCAATTTATAGGAAATACAGAAGACAGAGAAACATGTTAAACTACACTTTGGGGATACAATTAGAAAATCCAGACCATAAGAAATGCAAAGGGCAAACAAAGTTTCTGCAACAATTTGTAGGGTGGGGGAAGAAGTAAAAGAAATGGAGGGGCACATAGATCAGAAGAGCCTCAAAGACATTTCAACAATTGTTGTGAATAAGGTGTCTTTACTTGAATCTTCATCCAAACAAAATATGGGGTAGATTTACGAAACAATTGGAAATTAGAGCAGCCTAGTTACTTGATAACATTGGGTACAATTTAGGTATTATAATGGTACTACGGCTACACATTTTTTAAATCCTAGCTTGTAGAATTGAAAAATGAAGTATTTCTTAAATATCGTTTGGGATTTGTTTCCAAATAAAGGTAGTACAAGTGGCTGAGGTCTAGATGAAAGTGTTAGCCACAAATTAGTAACTGTTGAATCTCACGTTGGCTCATTGATTTCACTCTTCTACTTTTGAATGTTTGAATTTCTCAATAAGCAGCAACAATAAATGTTCTGAAAATAAAACACAATTTTAACAAACGTGTATAAGACTATCATTCATACCTAACAGCCATTTTGTTATTTGTTTCTGAAAGCTGAAGCCTTTTAGTATAATAAAATCTACATTAATGAAATAGATTTTGGGCCTCCCTGGTGGTGCAAGGGGTTATGACTCAACCTATGAAGCTATCTGTAGCCACTGTAGCTCGAGTTCAATCCCTGACCAGGTAGCTACCCACATGGCACAGCAGACTCTCCTGACTCACCCGCTGCTCCCTTCAGCAGGGTATTTCAATCTGCCTGTTCTGTTTCCCACTCTGTCTCTAGTGAATCCTCTCACCCCCCACACCTCTGGTCTGTGCCCCAGTTCTTGCATGCATAAATAAATCTTTAAAAAAAGGAAACAGATTTTTGCTGCAGGGAGCCTTGCTGCCCCAGCCAGGTAAAACACTGGCAAGCAGCTAAGAAAAGGGCCTCACACTGTGGGGCCAAAGCTCAAAGAGCCTCACACCATGGGGCTGAAGAGAAAGGGCCTCACACTGTGGGGCCGAAGACTTTTAAAGAGCCTCACACCATGGGGCCGAAGATTCCTTGTGCCTCACACTGTGGGGCTGAAGATTAAACATCCCTTTGTTTTTTGTTCTTGGTCATAAAAAGAAAAAACCTTATGGAATATACACTGGGCAATAAATTATACGTATAAGAATATTGTTAAGTACATGGCATGGAAAATTACTTGCTTAAAAATTAAACACTGAATAACTTGGCCCACTTGACAATGGGAAATAATTATTGTGCAAGGGCATGTCTGATAAGCAACCCAGAGCTGGTCATAATATTCCTCATATCGAAGTTCTATAGAGAAGCCTTGTAATGAATCATGAAGTTGATTACGCTAGGAGTTTCTAGGTAGAAAAAAAGTTCTAACAACTGATTACCAGAAAGCAACTGGTCTCTAGCTGCAGGTCATATAGATACAGGAGTCTCCTGATATTGTAGCCTTGGCGATAGGGCGGTACCAAGGACTGTTAGCTGACCTAGATAGTTGTTTAGGCTGAAATGATGAGTCTAAATTTTCATTATCTATTAACTTTTAAGGTCGTTTCTTTTCTCAAAAACACGTAGGCGCGGCTCCCACCCCCACCCCCACCCCCACCCCCACCCCGGTGGCGCAGCGGTTGAGCGCTGGGTTGTGAAGCTGCCCACAGCCTCTGCAGTGCCGGTTCGATCCCTGGCCGCCGGGCAAGGGTCCCACCTGGAGCGCAAACCTCTCCTGCCACCCGCTGCTCCCCTCAGCAGTGTACCTTGGTCCTTCTGCCTGTTCTGCTCTCCGCTCTGGCTCTGGTGAATTCTCTCACCCTCCCACTCTTCTGACTGTACCCAGTGCTTGTATAAATAAATCTTTAAAACAAAAAACAAAAAACATGTAGGTGCCAAAATGTCTATAGGAAAGGAATGTATTAATTGTTTTTGTTTTGTTTCTATGCATACAATGATGTAATCCCATTGTTTACCTTAACATATAAATAAAAACCCCCTGAGACCCTCAACAGGGGATGCTTTCACCAAAATAAGAGCGTCTGCATCTACCTCACTTCCCCCTCCCTTCAGTCCTAAGGTTTGGCCTAGGCCGTCTCATCCTTTCAAGAACACCTGACCTGACATTTTGCAGAAAGCTGGTCTTCGACAGATTTTGATGCACCTTATTTGTCATAGGGTATCTGATATAATCCAGATGTAAGCCGGATCAGCCTGTGTTTTAAGATTCAAATAAAACTAACTCAATGCCTTCCCCATAAATAATGGGAAATTCACCATCTTCCCAGTTTTTCTAAGTTTGGCCTGCTTGAGGTGAGGGTAGTAAAGGGCATGGAGAATTGCATATCTATTTCCACATCTAACTTGACCTGAGTTGTTTCTCCTGACTTATTTCAGTGATAAATCATCACGTTCTCCTAGGCAATTTTATCCTTTTCCACATCTTGGTCTTACTCCAGACTATGCCATCTTTCATATTTAGTTATTTAAGCTTTTTCTTTTCTCTAAAGTACCAAGTTGTCTTCTGAAGTTTTGTTTTTTGTTTTTTTTTTTTTTAAGATTTATTTATTTATTCATACAAGCACTGGGTACTGTCAGAAGCGCGGGAGGGTGAGAGAATTCACCAGAGCCAGAGCGGAGAGCAGAACAGGAAGACTGACAAAGTACACTGCTGAGGGGAGCAGCGGGAGCAGTGGGAGCGGCAGGAGAGGTCTGCGAGCCATGTGGGACCCTTGCTGGGGGTCGGGGATAGAACTGGCACTGCAGAGGCTGCCGGCAGCTTCACAGCCCAGCGCTCAACCTCTATGCCACCAGGGAGGCCCTCTTCTAAAGTTATTTTGAAGTTAACAAAAATGGGCTTTTCACATCACTACAGCTAACAAAATGGTTACACAGATACAACATATTTAATAAAATGTAACAGGTCCCCAGGAAAGGGGGAGGTTCCAGGTTTCCTGTCCCACCCAAATGGAGGGTGGAGCTGAGCAGGGAGAGAAGAAGCTGCAGAGGAGACTGAGGAAGGAAGAAAGCAGGATGGAGATCCAGGAGACCTGGAGGAGGCACATGGGGCCTAGAGAAACTGTGCTTCCTTTTTGGTCATGGACTGGGTGACACAGATGTGGGTGAGAGACCCATGGGGAGGTGACAATGGCGGTTTTTATATTGATTTTGATTTTGCTCTTTTCCTTCTGGGCTTGTCTGGTTGTTTCTGACCCTTTTCTGTGGGTCCCTACTGGAAGATGCTTCAGACCTGTGGCAGGCTTCGAGGCCTTGCTCTGGGCCAATTCTGCTTGGGTGGACTTTTACCCACGAGGGGACGGGTAACTTTGGATGCTTGATTTAGAAACTAGATTCTTTGCCTTTCCTGCATTGTTTCCTAGTTGCATTAAAGTTCCTTCCCATTAAAGTCTCATATGAATTGTGTTGATGCAGCGGATGGCTAAACCCATTTAAAACAGGCAGGTTTGCGGGGTTTGGGCTGCCCCTCTCCCTGCCCTGTAACAGAAAGAGTTTGAACTATGGGTTCCTTGGTGGTGGGTGAGAACATACTCATGACCTTATACCTCTTCATCAGTGTTGTAAACCAAAAAAAAGAAAGAAAGAAAAAAGAAATAGATAAGATATACTCAAAATATAAGAAAAGTGGCCCTTGGGGAAAAAAACTTTAAAATGTTAATGCTGTTTTTTTCTAGGAGTGGAACTAGGAGTGATGTTTTTGTTTCTAATACTTGATAATCATTTGGTCATGGAGTAACTTTCTATAGGAAGATACCACATTGTTAGGAGAGCAACAAGTATCTAGCTAGGTGACAGGACAGAGGAGCAAGCAGGCAGACACAGCCTGAGGACAAAGGTGGCATTAATTTGGTCATCTCTGAGACCCATATTGATGCCATACTAGGATTATAAGCAGGCAGGTCTAGAAAAATGAACTTTTCTACATTAAGCTATCTCCTAAAAGCTTCTAGCAGCTTTAGATATGATCTTTCCCTATGAATTAGTGATGTCCCTGCTATTTCCCCATAAAACTCCCTCATACACAAGCAAGCCATAACGATTAATCATTGTGGAAGGCAGTAGATGTAAAGCAGTTTCCTATAAGCTGGGAGCTTTGTTCCTAATTATGTCTCTGGAAACTATAGCACAGGATCTTGTACATAATAGTACTTTTAAGTATCTACTGATCTAAATAGCACAATTTGAGATCTTCACAAGAGACGTCATTTTATAATTGGAGATAAAAATCTCAAAATGCCTATACTTGATAAAATTAGATTGCTGTTTTATCAAAGCTACTGTCCATCCATTTAGTAATATGATTTTCCTAATCTGATTGTGCGCACCAAGGTAGGTTAGCACCATTTGTCCCTACGGAGGGGTCACTGAAGACACTAGTACTTAGGTCACTATTTACCCTATAGATTAACACATTGGATTGTACATGGAGATCCTTTTCATAGGCAACCATGCCAGAGCTGATAGAATAACACTATTTCCCATAATTTTTAAGTTCTTAAAAAGTTTTTAATCCGGGTTAATATCTACCTACTTAGAAAAATAACATTCCTATTCGCTTCTAACATTTGATGCCAAGCTGAGGCATTTTATTATATAAAATTATCTATGGCAGTCAGTATGTTCATGTACATTTATACTTTTCTAAACACAAATGGTAGACCATTCACCTTGTTTTTCTTTTTCTTTTTAAATTTTTTTTTAAAGATTTATTTATTTATATAAGCACTGGGTACAGTCAGAAGCGGGGGAGGGTGAGAGAATTCACCAGAGCCAGAGCCGGGAGCAGAACAGGCAGAAGGACCGAAGTATACTGCTGAGGGGAGCGGTGGGCAGCAGAAGAGGTCTGCGCGCCATGTGGGACCAGCGCCAGTAGCCGGGAATCAAACCGGCACTGCAGAGGCTGCGGGCAGCTTCGCAACCCAGGGCTCAGCCGCTGCGCCACCTGGGAGGCCCTCACCTTTGTTTTTCAAATATAACTTGTTTTAAAGGTATATACTTCTCTGAGAATTGAAAGCTCTATTTTATACAATTTCAAATCATTTTTAACAATCAGTCACTATCAGAAAACAAAGGGAAAGGCAACTTTATTATACATTGGAACATAAATCACATTTAAGCACAAACATAAAAATAGACTCATTTCTCATCTTTAGACTGTTTGTTTTCACTAGATTCTTCCATATCAAAGGTAAATGGTTTGTCATAACCCATTAAATGGTTATAGTCTTCAGGGTTTGGAAAGAGCACTGGGTTAACTAATAGTGATTTTGTTTTAGCATAAAATGTGGTAAACACATGTGTGCTGTCTGGAATCTTCACATCATTCTGGTGAAACACAGTACTCGTTTCTGAAAGCACAATATTATAAGTAATGGCTTTGTAAGTGTCCGTTGTGGCCTCATGGTACAGCCGAATAACATAGCCTTTTGTAACAAAGTGGAGCAGTGCTGGAGTAATCACCGTAAAGCTTCCTATGATGCCATAGAATAAGATTTGCAAAGGCAGACTTCCAAATATAATATTATTTTGTGCAAAGATGTATGGTAGAAATGCAAGGCTGATCAAACTGGTAGAGTAAGAGAAACATTTCACACCTATAGGAAAAAATGAAAGATGATTAATGTTTTTAAATTTTACAAAAGAATCAGCCTATCCAATTCCTTCTTCCACCTTTCTTTACTATATCATATCATCAAAACAATAACAAACTCAAAACACAAATATAATACATTCCCAGTTATGTTTTAGGCACTTCACATATTTTATTACAAAAGTGCTTTAAGATAATTATCATCATCTGGGCCTCCCTGGTGGTACCAGGGGTTAAGCATAGCACTGTGAAGCTATCCCCAGCCTCTGCAGCAGAGTTCTATCCCCAGCCAGGGAACTACCCACATTGCACAGCAGACCTCTCCTGTCTCGCCTGCTGCTCCCCTCAACAGTGTATTTCAGTCAGTCTGCCCGTTCTGTCTCTGGTGAAGCCTCTCAACCCCCGCAACTCTGGCCTGTAACCCAGTTCTTGTATGGATAAATGAATCTTTAAAAAAAAAAGATAATTATCATCACCCCCATTTAAGAGATGAGAACAATAGGGCAATTATTCAATGTCACATAGCTATCAGGTGGCAGAGTTGTGTCTCAAATTCCCCGCAATTTGTCACTAGAGTGCATGCTGTTGGCCATTATCCTGCATTGTCTCTCCAAGTAAGAAATCTTTTTTTTAAAGATTTATTTATTTATTTATTAGCAAGCACTTATTTAACACAATATGGTCATATATGGGGCTAACTTGATAAGGCTAAGTGACCAAGAATACAAAAACAAATTACAAAAATAGACAAATAACATTAACAGTTAAGAAACATATAGAAAAAGTATTAAACTCTTTACCAAAGAAAGACATACAAGATAAAACAGTAAATTCTTTTACCACTCAAGTTAGATTCATAATCAATGACTTCTGAACTATATACTTAAAAATGGTTAATTTTACGTTATATATATTTTACCAAAATAAAATAAATGACTTAAAATGTACAGTTCTCTTAGATTGAATGCATAGTTGTAAAATTACCCCAATTTAAGAAAAAAATCTGTTTAGAATATAGATAAGTTTAGAACCTAGGCAAGTTGATTATAAAGTCGGGAAAACAATGGAGGCAAATAGAGTGGGGGAAGATAGATATGAAAACGTTAAGTCTGGGCTTCCCCTTGTGGCACAGGCACAGCGCTATGAAGCTGTCCAGACTCTGCAGTGCAGTTTCGATCCTGGCTAGCCAGTGAGGGTCCCATATGGCATGGCAGACCTCACCTGTCGCGCCCACTGCTCCCTTCAGCAGTGTATTTCATCAGTCTGCCTGTTCTGTTCCCCGCTCTGTCTCTGGTGAATCCTCTCACCCTCCCATGCCTCTGGCCTGTACCCCAGTGCTTGTATAAATAAATCAATCTTTTAAAAGATATTTTAAAAAGTAAAACGTAAGAGTCTGAGGCCTCCCCACTGGCACAGCGGGTTGAGCACAGCAATGTGAAGCTGTCCACAGCCCCTGCAGTGCCAGTTCAATAAGTGGCCCTCCAGGGAGATATCCATATGGCGCAGCAGACCTCTCCTGTCTCACCCGCTGCTCCCCTCAGCAGTGTTTTGGTTCTTCTGCCTGTTCTGCTCCCTGCTCTGTCTCTGGTGAATTTTCTCACCCTCCCGTGCCTCTGGCCTGTAACCAAGTGCTTGTATAAATAAATAATAAATCTTTAAAAAAAAAAAAAAAAGAAAAAGTAAGCATCTGGGCCTCCCTGGAGGCGAAGGGGTTAAAGACAACACTATCAAGCTACTGCCAGTCACTACAGCACAAGTTCTATCCCACTAATCCACATGGCGCAGCAGACATCTCCTGTCTCACCCCTTGGCTCCCTCAGCTGTGTATTTCAGTACATCTGCCTGTTCGGCTCTCCACTCTCTCTGATGAATTCTCTCACCACCTCCCCCTCCCCCGCCTGCATCTCTGGCTTACATCCCAGTTCTTGTATGCATAAATAAATAAATCTTTAAAAAAAAAAAAAAACACAAGAAAGATCTGAATTAATCTAACCTTATACCTTAAGGAACTAGAAAGAAGAAACAATAAACCAAAAGGAAGGAAACAATGAAAATCAGGGCAGAAATAAATGAAATAGAAACTGAGTGGACAGTACAAAGAACCAATGAAACTAAAACCCAGTTCTTTGAAAAGATACACAAAACAGATAAGCCTCTAGCCAGGCTCACTAAAGAAGAAAGAAAGAAAACTCTAATAAGTAGAATTGGAAATAAAAGAAAAGTTAACAGATTATCACAGAAATAGAGACTCATATGAAATACTATAAACATCTTTATGCTGTTATTAAAAATCTAGAAGAAACTAACAAATTTTTGACTCACCAACCTCCCAAAACTGAATCAGGAAGAAATACAAAATGTAAACAGACCAATTACAAGCGTGAAAATAGAACTACTAATCAGATCTTCCAAAAAAAAAAAAAAAAACCACAAAAGTCAAGGATCAGATAATTTTTTATTAGTACCTATCCTTCTCAAACTCTTCCAAAAATGACGAGAATACTTCTAAATGCTTTTTATGAGGTCAAATTACCCTGCTTCCAAAAAGAGACAAGGATAGGACGAAAGAAAACTATATAGCTCAATATACTTCATGAACATAGATGCAAAATTCCTCCACAAAATCTTAGCAAACTGAATTCAACAATACATTAAAAGAATCATATAACATGACAAGTGGGATTTATTCGTTATGGAAATATGTTTCAACATACAATCAATTAATGCAATTCACCACATCAACAACAGATAAAAATCATGTGATCATATCCATAGATGCAAAGACAGCATTTCACAAGACCCAACATGCATTTAAAATAAAAATCCTGACCTCCCTGGTGGTGCAAGGGGTAAAGACACAACCTACGAAGCTATCAGCAACCACTGCAGCACAAGTTCGATCCCCAGCCAGGGAGGAGACCCACATGGTGCAGCAGACCTCTTCTGACTGGCCCACTGCTCCCCTCAGCAGTGTATTTCAGTCAGTCCCCCTGTGCTGTTCCCCACTCTGGTGAATTGCCTCACCCTCCACACCTCTGGCCAGTTCTTGTATGCATAAATATATAAATCTTAAAAAAAGAATAAAAAAATAAAAATTCCTCCCAAAAATGGGAATAGAAGGAACATAACTCTATGTAAGTCATATATAAGAAACCACAGCTACAACATACTCAATGGTGAAATATTAAAAGCTTTTCCTCTAAGATTAGGTACAAGACAAGGATGCCCATTCTCATAACTACTATTCAACACAGTACAAAGTCAATAAAAAGTTTATTTCATTCCTATATGTAAACAACCAAGTAGAAAGAAATGAACAATCTCATTTACTATTGCATCAATAAGACCATTAAGTACCTAAGAATAAACTTACATAGGATGTGAAAGACCAAAGAAATAAAGGAAGACACAGAAAATGAAAAGCTACTCATGTTCATGAATTGAAACAATTAACATTGTTGAAACAGCCACTTACACAAAGGAATATACATATTTAATGTAATCCCTATCAAAATTTCAATAGCTTTCTTCAAGTAAACAGAAAAAAAATTACTGAATTTTGTATGGATCCCAAATAGCCTAAGAAATTTGAGAAAAAAAAAAAGAACAGCAGTGTTATGCCCCCAAACTTCAAGTTATACTACAAAGCAATAGTAATCAAATCAATAGGGTATGGGGCTAAGAATAAACGCACAGTTCAATGGACTCCATGACACAGAATTGAGATCCCCAAATAAACCCACACTTATATGGACAGTTAATTTATAGTAAAGGAGTCAAGAATGGCAAAAGAAAATTCTTTTCAACAAACACTGCTAGGAAAATTAGTCGTATGCAGAAAAATGAAACACACCATGCTCTCATATCATATACAAAAATAAATTCAAAATGGATAACAGACTTGGGTGTAAGGCTAGAAACAACAAAAGACATATAAGGAAACATAGGCAAAACATTCTGCCACATTGGTTTCAGTGATGTTTCTGGGGAGTGAACTCCAATGGCAAAGGAAACATATGTAAAAAATAAACAAATGGGGCTATATCAAACTTAAAATCTTCTGCACAGCAAATGAAACTATCATTAAAACAAGAACATCCTACTAAATGGAAGAAAATATTTGTACATCACACATATGACAAGGGGCTAATACCCACAATCAACGAAGAACTCATACAACTCAACAAAGGAAAAAAAATAAACCAATTAAAAAATGTGCCGAAGACCTAAACAGACACCTATCTGAAGGCATAAAGAAAGCCAACAGGTACATAAAAAAATGCTCACAATCACCTATTACCATGGAAAATGCTTATCAAAATCATAATAATATCTCCTATCAATAAGAATAGCCATATCAAAAAGTCCAGAAGGTGAAGGACATGTATAATGAAAACTATAAAACTCTATTAAGAAAATAAAGAAGACAAAAAGAAATGGAAAGATATCCCATCCTCATGGTAGGAAGAATTTACATCATTAAAATGGCCATTTACCCAAGGCAATTTACTGATTTAACAGAATACCTATCAAAATATCAATGACTTTTTTTTTTGGAAATAGGGAACCACAAAAGGCCCTGAATAGCTAAAACAATCTTGAGAGAAAAGAAAAAAAGAAAAATGGAAGCATCACACTTCTAACTTCAAACACTATTACACAACAACAGTAATAAAAGCAAGATGGTATTGTAAGAAAAACAGAAACTCAGACTAATGGAACAGAATTGAAAGCCCAAAGATAAGCCCACATAAATATGGACAGCTAATTTTCAACAAAGGAGTTTAAGATCACAAGGTGGAGAAAAGATAATCTTTTTAATATATATTGCTGGTAAATATGGATAGCCACATGCAAAAAATAAAGCCCATATTTAATACCATACATGAAAATTCACTAAAAACGGATTAAATATTTGGACATAAGAACCAAAACCGTAAAGTACTTGAAAGAAAATATAGGGAAACATTACAGGACATCTACTGCAAAGATGTATTTGAGAATACAACCCAAGCAGCAAGGGAAACAAAAGCAAAAATAAACAAATGGGACTATATCAAACTCAAAAGTTTTTACATCTCAAAAGAAACCATCACAAAAACAATAAGGTAATGACAGATGGGAAAAAATATTTGTTTACCATACATCATTGGGTATCTTGGTGGTGGTAATTTTATGGGGATTATACCCCTGAAGGGAAATCAAGAACGTGTTTCACAATTAAAAGAAAAAAAATGAAATACCTTCATTTCCAATTACCCACCAAATACTGTTCAGGCCAGATTCCTATGTGCCTCAATATGGGTGGAACTGGCAGGGATTAAAATGTACAAAAATGAATGATGTAAAAAATATATATATTAAAAAAAAAATGGACAAAGGACCTCAATAGACATTTCTCTAAAGCACTCAGATGGCCTACAGACATGAAAAAATGTTCAACATCACTTACAAAAGAAATACAAATTTAAACAATGCTGAGATACCACCTCACTGCTATGAGAATTACCCATATAAAAAGGAACTGAATTAAGAAATGTTGGCAAGGTTGCAATGAAATAGGAACTCTCATTCAGTATTGGTGGGATGCAAGCTAATACAGTCCTTGTGGAAAACAGTATGATGGTATCTCAAGAAAATAAAAGTGGTGGGCCTCCCTGATGGCACAGCACTTCGATCCCCGGCTGCTCCCCGGCCACAGGAGGAGGGTCCCACATGGCACGCAGACCTCTCCTGCCGCCCGCTGCTCCCCTCAGCAGTGTACCTCGGTCCTTCTGCCTGCTCTGCTCCCCGCTCTGGCTCTGGTGAATTCTCTCACCCTCCCATGCTTCTGACTGTACCCAGTGCTTGTATAAATAAATAAATAAATAAATCTTTAAAAAATAAATAAAATAAAGTGGAAATTTTATTTGATGAAGCAATGATGCTATTAGATATCTCTATCCAAATAATGTGAAAAATTTAACATGAAAGGATCTGCCTACACCAACGTACATAGCAGCACTGTTTACAATGCCAAATCATGGAATTAATCCAAGTGCTCTTCAACAGATGAATGGATAAACTGTGGAGCATATTCCATGGAATATTACACAGCTCTGAAGAAAGAAGAAGCGGTAGCATTTGGCACAAAATCAATAGACCAAGGTCTATTTGATTATGTTAAGTGAAATCAGCCAAAAAGTGAAAGACAGATTTCAAATGGTTCCACTCATCTACAGAATATAAATAACCCCAAAACAATTACATATACAACAGAAGAAATAAACATTTGAATCCTGAAAAAAAAAAGAAGATAATGGTTACCAGAGGGAATAAGGGAAAGCATGGAGGGGATGGGGCACGGAGGCACATGGGATACAGGCACAGGTGTTTGGTGGAGGATAAAAAATAAACCCAGGAAGGCAAAAAATAAAAAGACCAAAAATAACAAGGGCTGTGCAGGATATAGAGAAAAAGGAACACTTTTGGTGGGAATGTAAAATATTGCAACAAATACGGAGGTTTTTCAGAACAGTAAAAATAAATGTATGATATGATTCAGCAACCCCTCTCTGAGGTATATATATATATCCAAAGAAAACAAAAATACTAATTCAAAGGAATATATGCACCTCTTTGTTCACTGCAGCACTATTTACAATAGCCAAGTTATGGAAATTACCTGACTGCCCAAAGACAAATGAGTTAATAAAGAAGATGTGGTAATATATACACAATGGAATACTACTCAGCTATAAAAAGATATGAGATCATGCCATGTACCATAACATGGATGGAATTGGCAGGAATTAATTAAAACAGGAAAAAGTCAGGAGAAAAACTTATACTGAATGACTTCACTGTTACGTGGAATATAGTGAAAACAACCCCTCCCCCAAAAAAACCACCTACAAAGTAAATGACAAAACTAAACCCCAAAAAAACCCTAGAAAGGAGATGGCAGAATTGAGGATACTAGAGAGGCAGGTAGAGCGGGAGCAGTAACACAAGAGGGAGAGGCACAAGGATCTACAGTAAAGGTCAATGGATGCTTGGATGGTGGGGATGGGGTGGGAACATACATCTGAGGAGGTATGAACCTATTTCTCTGGATCATAGTCAGTATTGTGAACCAATGCTACCTCAATATAGGAGAGAAATAATAAATTTAAAATTATTATCTAATTTTTCAGTGAGTCTTGAATTAAGAGGTACTAAAATAATAGATCATATATACTAAGAACATGTTCACAACTAAAGGGAAAAAAATGAAATACCCTCATTTCTGATTACCCACCAAATACTGTTCGGGCCAGATTCCCAGTGTAAATTAGCCTTCCATCTTCTGATTTCTCAAGTTGTGTATGTACGCATTGAACACATCTTTCCCAAGAAACAGGTATCTGTCAAAACAGAGCATGATAATGTGAGTTCATAAAAAAGTGCATTTTTAGACCAATTTTTAAATTTTCTGGTTTTTTTTTTTAAATATGTGAAAAGTAAAAGAGAACTGGTCACATGAGAAGACTCATGGAATTCTCCCAAATAATCTAGAGCTAAAGAAATCCAACTGGCTAACAAAATGGTTTTCACAAGTTGACAGTATGGAGTTAGAATTTGAAGAACCAGGTTTGCATTCCAACTCCAAGTTTTTTACATACACGGTGACCTTGAACAGGTAAAAATCATTCAGTGTAAGAAATCGTTCAAAAAAAAAAAAAGAAATCATTCAATGGAATAGGTTCTTTTATCTCACTGTTAAGGAGAACACCACTCTTATTCGATTGTCTTAAAGATTTAGATTCATCACTTTTTAAAAAATAAGATTAAGCTTAATACAATGTTAAGTAAAACACTGCAAACTCAGATTGCTTAAAGTCCAGACTATTTTTAATACAAAATATTTATACTATAATATTTTTAAAAGCAACTTTCATTCATCCCTTTATACCCTTTATTCGCCTTAGAAAATTTTTTACTTGAAGTCCTACATCAAATTTCAGAAGTTTCCCTAAAGTCTGAAAATGAATCGCAAAGCACATACACTTCAAAATGCAAAAGGCATTACTAATTCCTTTATTCTGAAACTTAAATTCCAAAGCCAAATCCTTCAGGTTTCAAGGACGTTTGCTAATGCAGGTATTTTATAGGCTAGGAATAGGAAGCCATTTGTTTTGGTAGAAATGAGAGTTTGGACGTTCTCTTTTTCCAGGGAGCAAAGGAATTCCTAAAAACAGAGCCAAATGATTAAAAAATATAACAAACTCGGTCAAGTTATCTAGGTTCTTTCATTCGGTCTTAAGGAGCTGCACCTAATTTCTGTGCAAGTTCACCTTTCCAAATGTCAGCTCAGGAAAGAGCAAATATATAGTCACCATAAACCCGCAGGGCTTCCAAGCGCCTGTAGAGTGCTTGAAACCGATCAAAAAACAGCCACCTTCCAACCAATACCCCCAGACCGCGGAGCACCCGAGACCTGTGGCCAGTGCCTGGGCCGAGGCCTGCTAGTCTTCGACCCCAGCTACTTCCCCGAGCCCGGCATTCTCTCGCCCCCGGCAGAGGGCCGCTTCCGCCCCAGATCCTAGGCAGGCGGGGGAGCGGGTATCAGAGAACCGCCGGGGCCCCCGGGCCCCACGCAAACCCACCCCCCACCCTTCACCCCGCCTCGGGCCCCAGAGCCTCTCGACTGCCGACCTGCGACCGCGCGCGACGCGAGAGAAGCGGCGCGACTCTCCACCACCCCGCGCTTCCGCTGCCCGGCGGCCCAGCGGGGCCCCCGCAGGAGGCCGCACGCGAGCAGGCGGCCCTGGGGCCTCGGAGCGCGGCGACCGCCCACGGCACCGTCCTCTTCCCGCCTAGCGCCAGAAGCATCATCCCGCGCGGGAGAGCTGGTAGCGGACGGCACCTCGGCGGCGGTCCGGGACCCCGAACCCGGCTCCTCACCCCGCGGAGGCCTGGACGAGCTGCGCCCTCGCCGCCCCCTAGAGGCCAGCCGAGCCCCCAGCCGATTGGCCGCCTGCGGGAGCGCGCGATTTGCGCCCCACGCCCCTCCTGCCACGCCACGCGCGTAGCTTTTACCCCGAACTCTGAACCCCCCCCACACCTGCCCTTCGTTGGGGGCCGGGGTGATCCGCGAAAACATCCAGCCTGTGCTTGTGTTTGGCAACCATCCCAGGCGGGATCGGTTCACATAGGTTGTCTAGCGATTTGAAGGAGAATTTTGGAGCCCTTGGCATCATTTTCACACGTTTTAATAAGCAGGGGAAACAGCCAAGTTGCTGGGAAACAACAACTTGAGTCCCCTTCGCCTGGGTGATGGAGCCCTTCTAGCCACTCCCTCCTAGGCAATAGTGTGCACACTTGCACAAGAGCACACACCCGTCTCAGCTTTCCACAATCAGGCACGTGTGCCCCATACCCACACGCCCTCTACATTAACAAGATTAAGGCCACAGTTGTTCGCCACAGAGGCTAGTGGCAAAAAGAAAGAAAGAGAGAGAGAGAGAGAGAGAGAGAGAGAGAGAGAGAGAGAGAGAGAGAGAGAGAGAAAAGGAAGGAAGGGAGAGAGGGAGGGAGGGAGGGAGGGAAGGAAGGAAGGAAGGGAGGGAGGGAGGAGGGAGGGAGGGAGGGAGGGAGGGGGAGGAGGGAGGAGGGAGGGAGGGAGGAAGGAAGGAAGGAAGGAAGGAAGGAAGGAAGGAAGGAAGGAAGGAAGGAAGGAAGGAAGGAAGGAAGGAAGGAAGGAAGGAAGGAAGGAAGGAAGGAAGGAAGGAAGGAAGGAAGGAAGGAAGGAAGGAAGGAAGATTAAATTACTTACCCTACATACACCCTGTCTTCCCCCTATCCCTGGGTTTGGCCTTTATGATGATGTGGAAGGGTAGAGGGAGAGTCATGCCAGAAGGAGCAAGCCTGGAAACCTGGATTAAATCTTTCATTCTCCTGGGTGTCATTTTCTAGTCCCCCAATAATTTGTCTTGAAACAGAATGGATAATGCTTTATACGATTTGAACAAAAATGAATGGTAATTTAATTTAACCACTGAGTTGGTAGGAAAAAGATGGAACTCGTTCATATATTGATGTTTGACAAATTTGTCTTCAGGATTTATTCGCATCCATACACATTCATGACTTGTTAAAGAGGTGTTGAGTGCCTATTGCCAAGATGAAGCTAGCAAAGGATACAACAGATACTGGATAAAATTGGTAGTCTCCAGTGCTCACTTAGTTAAGAAGAAACACCTAGAAAAAAAAAAAAAATGCTACAGAAGTCCGAAAGATCGCTTGGGTAATTTGGCCTCAAAATTATCTAAAAGGCTTCAATTCAGGTTCAGCAGAGTCTTGAAGGATGAGCATCCAACTAGTAGAGCATTTTGTTTACATTTTCAGAATTGTTTTTAACTTGATATCTATTTGCACAGATGTTTTAAAACCCATCATAGGGGGCCTCCCCGGTGGCACAGCACCGGTTCGATCCCCGGCTGCTCCCCGGCCACCGGAGGAGGGTCCCACATGGCGTGCAGACCTCTCCTGCCGCCCGCTGCTCCCCTCAGCAGTGTACTTTGGTCCTTCTGCCTGTTCTGCTCACCGCTCTGGCTCTGGTGAGTTCTCTCACCCTCCCGCACTTCTGACTGTACCCAGTGCATGTACAGACAAAAAACAAACAAACAAATAAATAAATAAATAAATAAAAACATGCCTCTATTAAAAAAAAACATCATAGGGCCTCCCCGGTGGCTCAGCGGTTGAGCGCTGGGATGCGAAGCTGCCCGCAGTCTCTGCAGCGCTAGTTCAATCCCGGACGACGGGCGATGGTCCCACATGGCGCTAAAGACCTCTCCTGCCGCGCCTGCAGCTCCCCTCAGCAGTGTATTTCGTCAGTTTGCCTGTTCTATTCCCCACTCTGTCTCTGGCGCATCCTCTCACCCTCCCTCGCTTCTGACTGTACCCAGTGCTTGTATAAATAAATAAATAAATCTTAAAACCCAGTCATAATAAATTAGAGAATTGAAATGGTGCGACAGTAAATTAAAGTGAAAGCAACCACTTTTTAGGAGGACACGATAGAAGTCCATGTGAAGCAAGAATAAATAAAAGCTCAGTTGGGTGACACCAAACTCCTAAAATTAACAAGTAACTCAGATAATATATATATCTAATAGGGGAACAGAATTAAACCAGCCTGAGAGGATTTAGACTCCATGTCCATAGCTTCTTCTAGGCCTTCTCCAGATTTTAGCAACTGCCACTGGAGGCTCTGCCAGGAGATGTAGGCATTCCCCTCTTGGAGTTGAAATAGCAAGGAAGACCCCAGACTGCCTGTGGAACTTTTTATGCTGGTGTCTGGGTTTACAACCTCCCTCCCTTTACTACCAATTGAAGTGTATGTTAAATTAGTGTAATTTGGATTCCCCCCCATGAATCATATTGTCATTATACACAATTCATTTGAACAGTAAATGAAACCTCTCCATCCAGATGCAAGTTAGCACATTGAGATACAAACCACATATTTTATGCATGCACTTGCCCAAATCCAAGGTTACTAACTCCCTATATAACCTCAGAAGAATGCCCTCTCAGTTCCACTAGAAAGGAAAAATAACATAATTTCCCATAGGCGAAGTAAAGCATGTTAGATCCTGTAGTTTGCTAACTAACGTGTCCATGAGCACTCTCTCTAGCCTCCCAACCTCATTTAAATGGGATATCTGAGAGGCAAATTAAAATGTTTTAGTTTATTTGAGTAAAAATGGGCAATGTCAAACTAGAAGTGGTTAGTCACTCCACTGACAGACGTTAGAAGCAAGGTTGTTTTTTTAAGATTTATTTATTTTTATACAAGTATTGGGGTACAGGCCAGATACGCAGGAGGGTGAGAGGATTCACCAGACACAGAGTGGGGAACAGAACAGGCGGACGGGGACCGAAGTACACTGTTGAGGGGAGCAGCAGACGAGACAGGAGAGGTCTGCTGCTTGCCATGTGGGATTCTCCGGGGCCCGCCTGGAATTGAACCTGCACTGCAGAGACTGCAGATAGCTTTACAGTGCTGTGCTAAACCCGCTGCACCACCAGGGAGGCCCAAGAAGCAAGGTTTTTATAGAGATGTGGAAGCAAAGCAAGGAAATTATTGGACTGGCTACAGTTTAAGGAGTTGCATCATTTGGGAAAGCCTACTTATCTATTTGTAATTCGTTGTTCCTCTTATACTTGAGGCATTTCAGGAGTTGGTTTTGTTTTGTTTAATTAGGTTACTAAGGCATTAGAGCCAATTACCAAATGACCTCAACAATATCTAAGAGAACCTGAATTTTTAATCTTCTGTTAAGCTTAATTTCTCCTTCAATTGCAATAAGCAAATGACATTGGTAACATTAGTCTATGTCTCAAAGTCTGTAAATAATAAAATGAGAGTATATTATGAAAACTCTGCTATAGTTTACATGGAAATGTTACTTATGGTTAAATAGATTTCTCAATTCTAGTAATTTAGGAAAATTTATTATTTTTAATGATTTTTTAATTATAAATTACATCAATAGGCTTTTAGAATAGTACTAAGGCTGTTAATAAAAATAAGCCTATCACTAGATATATTACTTATATTATCTGAGAAGTTCCATTTAAAGATGGGGCTGCACCTATTCCCCTAAATTCTATACATCACTGTCAACCAATGTTTCTTCAATAAAGAAAAATAATTAAAGATGGGTTGATGGCAAAGTTGAAAATGGACATCTCGGGCCTCCCCGGTGGCGCAGCGGTTGAGCGCTGGGTTGCGAAGCTGCCCGCAGCATCTGCGGCGCCGGTTCGATCCCTGGCTGCTCCCCGGCCACCGGAGGAGGGTCCCGCATGGCGCGCAGACCTCTCCTGCCGCCCGCTGCTCCCCTCAGCAGTGTACTTCGGTCCTTCTGCCTGCTCTGCTCCCCACTCTGGCTCTGGTGAATTCTCTCACCCTCCCGCGCTTCTGACTGTACCCAGTGCATGTATAAACAAACAAACAAACAAACAAATAAATAAATAAATAAACAAACATGCCTCTATTAAAAAAAAAAAGAAAAGAAAATGGACATCTCTTGTAGAAGGGATGATCACCATTATTGTAACTTTTGTTTTACTTTTGGCTGCCTTTCCTTTTCATACACCAGCCCCTTTCCCTCCTTTAAGGTGAACTGAAGGACCACATGGCATGCTGGAAAAATTAAAAGAAAAAGAATGGTAAAGATAGTATATTAGTAAGAACCCTAAATACATACTGGTTTAAAGCATATACTAGAAGAATCTTTCCAGAAAAGAATTTGTCAACAGGCTATTAAGATTTTTTAAAACATTCATATTCTAATAATCAGAAACATGGTCAAAGACTTCTATTGAGACACTGAACACAGCATTAGTTAAAATGATTTTAAAATGGAAATAACGTAAATGTCCAGCATTCAAGGAATGCAAGGGAATCTATGATCCATTTAGAGAATGTAGTTCTTTTTAAAATATTTTTAAAGATTTATTTTATTTATGCATGCATGCAAGAACTGAGGGGGGAGGCGCAGTAAGGGGGTGAAAGGATTCACCAGAGGCTAAGTGGGGAACAGAACAGGCAGATGTACTGAAATACACTGCCGAGGGGAGCAGCGAGAAAACAGGAGAGGTCTGCTGTGCCAAGTGGGTTTGCTCCGTGGCTGGGGATGGAACTAGTGCGGCTGCAGTGGCTGCTGATAGCGCCACAGTGCTGAGAATTACCCCCTTAGGCCACCAGGGAGGCCCTAGAGAATGTGGTTCTACACAGCCATTAAAATGGTTGCTTTCTGAGAACTTAGATACAATGGTTTAGTTATTTAGCTTAGTAAAGTTGGAAAGTAAATAATATACAGAACCATATACACGCCTTTGTATTATA